GTTGTCCATAGCAGTATTTAGAATTTCATTTCTGTCCTCTTTTTTTTCGTAGAGCTGACACAGGTTGACCATGGTACATGATAATTTTGTCCGATGTGATCTTCGAAATTATAGCTAATCCTTGAGAACTTCTGCTATTTATCCTGATGCACTCTTATTTCCATTCGTAGTGAGAATTTGGAGCACCAAGCCACGGTTTTCTTGGAGCTCCTGAAAATGGTTTCGATGCTCATGGTAGGGCCATCAGGCGCGTATAAAAGAAAGTATGGCTTTCACTCGCGGAGGGAAAGGGAGCAACTCAAACCGTAACTCTAGTAGAGTCACCACACACCGGACAAGTGCTACCATCGTTGCTGGATTGGTAAAAAAAATTCAACCGTAGGGAGACTTCCACGGGGAGTTCTATGACTCTGCACAAAACTAAAAAAATTGTCTAAAAACGGAAAACTATTAGGATGATCTGGCTTCTTGTTTGTGTAGGTTTTTTATGGAGGCGGTTCCGATTCTACCAGTTGCAAAAGACGGGTTTTTTTGGAAGCCGAGATATTCATATTTTTGGGGGTATCCAATGATTTTACAACGCACTGTACTCTATTCTGTGTTGGAAAAAATCACATGTATATAAATCTTTGAATGAACACCGTCCACCTGATTACCCCCATAAAATTCTTCCGTGGATGAAAATCTTGAACTGCATACAGCAATGACGGAAAATTCTCTCGGCGGCGTCGAGGGACTGAGCATCCCCACAAATTACTGCACGTCCTCTTTCAAGCATGATGAACAGATAATAAAGATCCAATCCCGTGATGACCCACTGCTGTGCAAACGGTGCTATGTGGGGGCGTTCTCTTATTCAATGATGAAAAAAACCTCGATACAAGCACTTCTACAGATAGAGATGCACACATGACGGCGAAGAGGCCAAAACGACTTTAAGGAGGTGGAAGCAAGCAATCAAAGTTTACCATACTCCGCATTATCCGCATTACAGCACTGGGTGAAAATTCGAAAGATGAACTACTTTCACTTTTTAGCCATTCCTCCCTTTTACCTTCCATTCAACAAAATTTGTAAAATGCCCTAATGCTTCTAAAAATCAAAAATATCGAAAGGAAAGGTTTTTCAGTCAGAAACAGTTTTTCTTCTGAACTCTTCGAGTTCGCACTCTAGAATTGGCAGATCTACACGTGCTCTGAGGCTTCTTAGCAGGCTGTTGCATTTTATTACGTTGTCCTGTAATGAGTAAATCACTTTCCATTCATTACTGTGAGGAATCCTAAAAAATTCGGCGAAGGCCAGAATTATACTATTTCATGTGGTAGAACCAACAGTGGCCTACTGAACAATTAGTCAGCCAATTTACCCGCTGGATTCCATAACTATGTATCACTACCATTTTTCTAGAACATATTTCGGAGCTCCCTTTTTTCGTCACTGCCGATTAAGACCTTCCATACGCCAAACAAAATAAAGAATCGACCTGAAGACAGGTGCGGGCGTACTCCTCTAATCTGATTGTTCACCATTGAAGGTTGACTTTTTTATTTGAGGAAGATCTACATTCCAACCATCAAGTGACTGGTTCTGGTAATGGACACATTCAAAATGAGATCCTAAGAGACAAGCCGTTGCTTGCTGAGCTGTTATTATGCAACAAGGTGACAGTGCTGACACATTCCCATAGACTAGCAAAGATTCGGAGCGGTTTGTATCCCACATGCTCTAAAACCGAATCAGCTCCAAACGAGACATAACATTATCATGTTCCTTATTATTTTCCATGGCTCCTCAATTGGGAATCCAGAACGTGGCCAGATTCCTGTTTTTTTTTTACCGCGGCAAGCACTTGGACGAACCCCCAACACAGAAGGCATGCCTTCAAAGAAACCCGTTTCGGTCATAAAATCTGCTGCAGCAGTAATGATCTAACACGGCGCTTACGTCAACCGCAGGGATTAGCTACGAGAAAAGGTGGTCAGTGTTCGATAGAAGATAAAGGAAACAATCGCTCATGGAGCATAACTCTTATTCATCAAACGTATTCTACATTCGGATCCGAATTCATTGTTTTCCTATTTCTGCGCGCTCTAGATAAGTTTTTCGATTACTTCAGTGAGGAAGTGAAGCAGTCGATGTGAAACAAGGCGAAAGTGGCAGGATCGCTGACGGTCACACAATTAGAAGCCGTATCAGAATGTTGTGTTAGGACAAATTAATGGACAAAGTATAAACCATTCAATGTTGATCAGTTCCCTTTGGGAAGCGCCACGCATTCCACTGCCATTGGTTTTAATTTATGTGTCTCAATTTTTCACATTATATACTTTTGCATTTCCAGAAAGGTCCCGCACCAATTAATGGACCTTGAAGGATCGAAAGCTTGGTAGGCCCTGATGTCGCACTCTCCAGGATATGATCCTGAGCACCACTTGATAAGACACTTCCTCTGCCCGGATGGCAAGATCGACATAAGTATGGAAGCAGAGTAACGCAGAGCTTTTCAAGACTGATCGAGCAGCCTTTTAGTTTAAAACAAAAGCCACATCGAGTTGAAGGCCTTCAAAGCGATACACCCAAGATGATACTGGAAGAGAAATCACTCCAGAAATACATCTTGGGCGAGAATGCAGTTAGCTCAAGATATTTCATGGCCAGCGTGGAAATCGCGTAGTTGGAATGGCCACGTCGGTGCGAGATTAGGTGTTTCCTAAATAACGAATTGTAGTTGCGCGCGCTGGGATACAGTGAGGTAGGAATTATGGCTTAGTAGCTTTCATCAGAGGTGAGTAGGAGTCTGAAGAGTTAAACTAGTCGCTCCTCGGGGCTGAAATGACCAATCCAGCATACAAGGCGGCCAATTACGTGCCATTTTTCAGATAACATTTAAATTCCCTTTTCAAGGAACACATCGTGCATCCTGCGTATTGTGCCGTATTGCAAGACTATGACGCATGAATTATGGCTACTTAAGTCGCTGTGTGTCCCATATTACATTCCTCCGACTTTTGTGCCACACAACAGCCTGCTTGGGCCCAAGTAAATTTGATCGTATTACGATTGTACGTTAATATATTACTATTTTCGTGATGGACCAGAGCTTACATCGCGTACATTTATTTCTAAGGGTACTCTGTTTACAAGAAACACTCGTTTTATTGTAATTTCAATTTATTTTCTGCAGTTCTTATTCTCACATGCAGCACGTTATCGCATATTTGTATTGCCAATATGCATCCTGGTGTTGGCCGGCTCTGTGAATGTGATGATTGGCACACGGTGGACGCCGAAACAAGTACTGTGTTACGATCAATTTCGTGAGCAGAATCTGCAAAGGCGGCGAGTTGTGTTGAAGGTATGGCTTGATCTCACCAGCTAAACACCACCTGTAATCGGTCGAGTTTGGTCCTCAACTGGATTGATTTCGACGCCTCCGATTATACAGCTCGCAAGGCGTAGCACATTGAGAGGAGTGTTTTAATTCAATCTTCTTTCCTCAGAGCTGGAAGCTTTGGAATTCGGCTTCAGCAAAATGTCAAGACCCATGTATCGTCGCACCAATTCGACGCCAGAATTCAGAACATGTACTTTCCTTTCATTAGAAGGAATGCCGAGTTGTCTCTATGAATGTTGACTTTCCGTGGATTTCAATATACAATTCGCATCAGGGCTAGAATCAATTCCTTGAGCTGTTGAACTTGTAACTAGAATCCTTCAACAATCGCTGGTCGCCAAAGAGCAGCCGCTATAACCTTGGGGCATATCATACGAGCACTTTCGTGGATGGGATCCACCATTTTGCACTTGGCGGATGGTCGCTTGGACATTTCGTAAAAGCAAGTCTTCTATCACCTTCTCTAAAGATATCAAGTTATCTGCTCACCTTTTGCAGTTGCTAATTGTATTCGTTGATCTAGACTTATCAATAATGAAAGGATTTGCGACCATTGGTCTCTTGGTTTTGTGTCTGGCTCATGTAGGTTCTTGTTTTAGAGCGCTGTAATTCTAGTGGTTACTTTCAGACTGATCATGAGGTTGTACTCGCTATTACCTGAATTCTTCATATGCATAATTATCCATATCGTAGGTGAATCGTAGTTTTAGTGTTGGCGGTCAATTGCGATTTGATCCCACTCGTCCTGGAAGGCTGAGATTTTCTCCGTTTCCCCTTCGAGGTGGCGGAGGGATGGACTACCTTAACGTGTATAACCACGTAATGAAATCATTCGGTCGTAGCGCGACATGCGTATGGAAATTCAAGGGCCTGCATTTGTGTGTAGCGATTCCGATCTGAAGCGATTTTCCACATCAGGCCGATTATATTTCAAGGTACTGAGGGCGTGGTGGTGTGAAGTTGATTATTCTTACAATTCATAACTTTCGCAGCCTTTGCGAAGCGAATGGGTGCTCACACCGTGACGACCACGACGACCAATCATCATCTTCTTTGTAGTATGAGCTGTTTTCGCTAAAATCGTATTGTTTCTTTTGGCAACGTTGCATGCCTCATCATTTAACTTCTCCGTCCTTATCTTCTTTGAAGTCGACGAGTTGCCTTCGTTCCTGGTTAGCTCATCTCGAACATTCTCTTAGTGAGTAGTCTGAATCTCATTTTTTTCGGAGGCTATGATCTTGGGAGAGGATCAGCGGCAGCTTACAAAACAGGCACGGCTAACCCACTGTGCTTTTTTTTTTTTTTTTTTTTTTTTTTTTTTTTTTTTTGTTTTATTTTTTCGTGTCGACGTAGAAGCTCCTTGGGCCAAGTGTTTTGGGTAATTTTCTCTTATACGCTGTCTCTTAGCTCGTCCTCCTCGAGCCGCATGATTCTTCATTCTCTGTAGCTATGTTCCACAACATCATGTAGCGGAAACACGGGCACACCACTTTGCAGCGAATGTCATCTGGAGAGGGCTTTGCAACGTTTTAGCATCGTTGATTTCGAATATGTGTCTTAGTTTCAACGTGTTGTCATCTAGCTGCGGATTTCCTTGATAATATTGTTAATATTGCTTGTGCTGCAAATCGCTCTCATTTGCGTGAGGGTCAACACCTGAGCTCTTCATTTGCGCCTTCTTACTTGAGAGTTCAGTTTCTTCTCCTTGACTGTCATCTTGCTGCTTATTGCAGTGAAGATAGTCTTCTCTGAAGACTGAAAGGCGTTACTTCATGGGTGCGCTTCAGAAGTCTTCAATGCGATACTTTTGAACTTGGAGATGTGCAGTTTTTTGTTTTTCACCCAAATTTGCTCTTGAAGAATCTTTTTTTCTATGTCTAGCAGACCTGCTTGAGTAGCACAGCCTAGAGAGTGAAGCAAACCGCGGCTCATACCGGAACATTGTAAGATTTACTGGAGAAGGATCATGCATTGAGGAGAGGAGATATTCCGTGAAGAACATATCTACTTGACAACGTAAGCGGCTCCAATTTGTTTATCACTGAACCTAGCCACGACGGTTTATACAACTGCTCTTATCGCATCCTTATTAGATACCACGCCCCTGTAATCATTACGTAGTCCAGCTACGTGAATCGGGGGGCGAAGCACTGTTCAGTGGACTTACTGAAGAGACGTGCTACACATGCGTACCTCTTTTCGAACAGTGGCTCGCTTAAGACAGTTGCTTATATGTCGTCGTGTTTTAAATTGAGACTGCAGCCTTCGTTTCAGTATTATTGTCTTTCAGCGATTTCCTCTCTCATGTCATGCTCATGTCTTTTCTAGAGTATAATCTTAGCTAGCTGTTTCATGTATGGGCTCGTTGTGCTTGTACGTCGTTTAGCTGCTGTCTACTCAAAAGGTCTGTAGACATAGGCAAATAAAGATTTCTATTTCAAAGGAGAAAGTGGCCCGCGTGAAAAAATCAAAACTGCCCACTCTCCAAGTTCAAAAATGTGGAGCTCAATGAAGACCTTCTGAGCGCACACATGAATAGACGTGGGCCTTTCAGCTCTTCGAGAAGCTGCAGTCTTTTCACTTGCACAGCCTTGCAGAGATCAGAGACAACTGTATGAGAACTGGAACTCTCCACAGGCTAAGAAGGCTGAAATTGACAGTAGTCAGGTTGTTGACCTCGCATGAGACAGTTGCACATGGCATATCTTTAGACAATATATTGCAAGATATCGAAGCTCGATTGATGCACACCGTTGCAATTTGACACCATATTCGAAATACGCTGCTAGAATTGGCAAGCCTCTTCCAGGGCGAGTGAATCTGTCTGACAGTGGGTGGTCGTTGTGTTTCAGCTCCATGTATGTGTTTGACAATAGCTTTCAGAGGCAACTTGAAGAATTCATGTTAAGGCTCTCGGTGAGACGGCTAATGAGAAAGTGGTTTAAGATGAAAATTACCCAAAATACTGGCACCAGCAGGAGTTTCTACCCTTCGACAACAGCAAGGTGTGTGTCGAGTGCCTGTTTTGGTGAGCTCGCTGATCTGATAGATCAAAGCTCTGAAAATGAGATTTCAGACTATCTCACTACTGAGAGATGTCGAGATGGCACTACAAGTGGAGAAAACATGCTCACTTTCAAAGTAGATAAGGATCGGAGTAAGTTTAAATATTGAGCAAGGCAACGGCCATAATGACAATTTACGATTTTAAGTCAAAACAGTATCATACTTATCAATAGAGATGATGTTGTCTTTCGGGGTCGTCCGGTGGGTGGCAACCCTTTCGCTCGCAAGCTGCAAAGGTACGATTTGGTAAATATTCACTTCACACCCACCAGGCCCCTCAGTACTTAATTCATAATCGTGTTTTTGGATCTGTGAAATCGCTTCAGATCGAATCGCTCACCGAAATGGCCACGCCGGACGTTTCAATACCATGGCGCGCTACGACCTAGATGATTTCATTCAATTGTGTTTATATCGTTAAAGTAGGTTCATCCTCCACACCTCGAGTGGCAACGGGAGAGCTATCAGGCTTCAGGACAGAGGTTGTGGATCAATTGTTCAAGTTTTGAACCGCACCTAAGCAATAACTTAGAGATTTCACCTCCGACTATGGCGTATTATTATGCATTATAAGTCAGGTAAGAGCGAGGTAAGCACTTATGAGTTCGTATGAAATCACAACACACGTAGATATTACAGCCTTCTAAAACAAGAAACTACAATGGTAGCGCAACACCAAGCGATACCAAGGAGACCATGGGTTCGCAAATCCTGTCATTATGAAAGCTATGATCAACGATCGTTAAACTGCAAAGGTGAGCGAATAATGAGTATGCGTTTTAGGAGAAGGTGTATAGACTTATCTTTAGCGAAATGTCCCATAGGACCTCGCCAAGTTTCCAAAATGTGTGGTTCCCCTATCCAAGAAATGCTCGGGAAGTATTTTCCAATTGGTATGGCGGCTCTCTTTGCGGACCAGCGAGTGTGTGGGCATTCTAGTTCAAGTTCCAACGCCAAGGATTTTTCTAGCGGACTGGTGCGGATGTATATTGAAAGCAAGGAAGCAAGCAATTTCATTGTAGAAAATACTCTGGCTTCCCTGCTTAGATGAAAGGGATACGGTAATGTTCTGCATGACTGGGTGAAGTGGCGAAGATACATTGTGTTTCATCTTTTGCTTGAATCCGTAATCCAGCTTTTCAGGCTCCTGAAGAAGAGATTGAATTAAAATTCAACCATCTCACATGCTACGCTTTCGACGGCTGTAAATTCGGTGGCGTCGAATATCTATCCTGAGCGACCAAACTTCAATGCGGTTACAGGACTGTGAGCTTGTTCGGATCATCTACCTTCAAGCACAACTCCGCCTTGGATTTGATCAGCGAATGATCGTCCACAGTTTGTTTCGCGGTCCAACAGTTGCAATCATCCATTCAACAGAGGCCGGCAAACTCAGATATCTTGGAACAAAATGTCTATAAGTGCTTCTCATGTGAGGGAAGTAAGAACTGCAGAAATAAAGATATTACATAAAATCGCGAGTGTTTCTTGTAACAGAGTACGTGAAATTAAGTGTACGCTGACTGTAGCATCTGGTCCCATCACGAAAATAGTATATATATATTCAACGTACAATCGTAATACGGTCAAATTTACTTGGGCCCAAGCCAGGCTGTTTGTTGCAAAAAGTCGGGAGCAATGTATAGTAACCAACAAGACTAGAGTAGCCGATCCTAATTCATGTCCTAGTCTTCGCAATACGGCAACAACGCAGATGCACGATGTGTTCCGGTTGAACTCGACGGAATTATGATGTTTATTCCGATGGATGTCGTTAGTGGCACGTAACTGACCGCCTTGTATGCTGGAGGGGTCATTTCAGCCCTGAGGAGCGACTAGTTTAACTCTTCAGACTCCTACTCACCTCTGATGAAAGCTACTAAGCCATAATTCCTACCTCACTGTATCCCAGCGCGCGCAACTACAATTCGTTATTTAGGAAACACCTAATCTCGCACCGACGTGGCCATTCCAACTACGCGATTTCCACGCTGGCCATGAAATATCTTGAGCTAACTGCATTCTCGCCCAAGATGTATTTCTGGAGTGATTTCTCTTCCAGTATCATCTTGGGTGTATCGCTTCAAAGGCCTTCAACTCGATGTGGCTTTTGTTTCAAACTGATAGGCTGCTCGATCAATCTTGAAAAGCTCTGCGTTACTATGCTTCCATACATTATGTCGATCTTGCCATCCGGGCGGAGGAAGTGTCTTATCAAGTGGTGCTCAGGATCATATCCTGGAGAATGCGGCATCAGGGCCTACCGAGCTTTCCACCCTTCAATTTCCATTAATTGGTGCGGGACCTTTCTGGAAGTGCAAAAGCATAGAATGTGAAAAATTGAGACACATAAATTAATACCAATGGCAGTGGAATGCATGGCGCTTCCCAAAGGGAACTGATCAACACTAAATGATGTATACTTCGCCCATTGATTTGTCCTGGCACAACATTCTGATACGGCTTCTAATTGCGTGACCGTCAGCAATCTGCCACTTTCGTGTTGCCTCACATCCTACATCCTACATCGACTACTTCACTTCCTCACTGAAGTTACAATTCTATTGTCTTCATCAAGACTTCTAAAACAGCTGTGCTATTTTGGCACGCAATGCATACTGCCAATATCGTAGAACACCAGAAAGAATCGGTAATGGTACTTTAACCTAAAACACTTGCGGCAATTAGCTGCTGGAGACTGCAATCGAAAAAGTGATCTAGAGCGCAGAAAGAGGAAAACAATTTATCCGGATCCGAATGTAGAATACGTTTGATAAATAAGAGTTATGCTCCATAGGCGATTGTTTCCCTTTATCTTCTATCGGACACTGACCACGTTTTCTCGTAGCTAATCCCTGCGGTTGACGTAAGCGCCATGTGATCACTACTGCTGCAGCAGATTTTATGACCGAAAGGGGTTTCTTTGAAGGCATGCCTTCTGTGTTGGGGGTTCGTCCAGGTGCTTGCCGCGGTAAAAAAAAAACAGGAATCTGGCTTCGTTCTGGATTCTCAATTGAGGAGCCATGGGAAATAATAAGGAACATGATGATGTTAGGTCTCATTTGCAGCTGATTCAGTTTTAGAGCATGTTTGGTACGAACCCCTCCAAATCTTTTCTGATCTACGAAAATTTCCCAGTACTGCCACCTTGTCGCTTCAGAAGAGCTCATCAAACAACGGCTTGTCTTGGCAGATCCCTTTTTGAAGGGGTTGGGGAGAGATTATCAGTCACTTGATGGTTGGAGTGTAAATCTTCCTCAAATGAAAAAAGTCAACCTTCAATGGTGAACAATCAAGATTGAAGGAGTACGCCAACGCCTATCTTCTGGTCGATTCTTTATTTTGTTTGGCATTTGGAAGATCTTAGTCGGCACTGACGAAAAAAAGAGCTCAAAATATGTTCTAGAAAAATGGTAGTTACACAGTTATGGAATCCAGCGGGTAATTTGGCTGACTAATTGATCAGTAGGCCACTGTGGGTTCCACCACGCGAAATAGTATGATTCTGACCTTCGTCGATTTTTTTTAGGTTTCCTCACAGTAATGAATGGAAAGTGATTTATTTATTACAGGGCAACGTAATTAAATGCAACAACCTGCTAAGAAGCCTACGAAAAAAGAGGATAGAAATGAAATTCTAAATACTGCTATGGACAACTAGCGTAGGGTCCTGCGAAGCGTGCTGCCATGCTCAATAGGCGTTCTGACTGTAACCGGAGAAGAAACTTCAGGTCTGGAACTGAGGATGAGGTACCATCACCACATCTTTAGGAAACGATCATGGAAATTGAAGGAATAAATCGAATCCTGGCCCATATTTCTTTGCAGGTGAACAGCAGTCATCTGAACCATAAAAGCTAAACTACTCATTACCGACGAAGCGCGGTCTGGAAGGAACAAATTACTTATTATTTTGAATGGAAAATGTTCAACAAAGCAGAGCTTCGGCCCGATATTTTGTTAGATTTCTCTTCTTTGGTTTCAATCAGAGGACCCTACGCTAGTTGTCCATCTCACTGATTTTGAGGCGCACCATCGGCAACAACCAGAAAAACAAACCGAACCGTGTCATGATAAGTTGAACAGGAACAAAACAAACAGCACACCCTGAACATAAGCACTCGTGGGATGACCAGTAAATAATATTGAGCAGGGCAAAGGGAAGAATTAGCTGAACAAAATAGGAACAGCCCGACTCTCATGAAGCACCGAAGAGCAGAGACTATGGATAAAAACCTTAAAGATAGAAAGAAACCGCTGGAGAACCAAGGACCACCATCGTGTCGAGAAAGCTGAAGAGTAGACCGCCAGAAACCCCAAAACAGAAATCACCTTCAAAGCAACCGCCAGAAACCCCAAAACAGAAATCACCTTCAAAGCAAAGAAGGATAAGGACATTTGAGACTTGGAACACCCTCACGACAAAGCACAGCAGCGCCGGCGCCTATTAGAGAAAAAAGAACTAAGCAGAGTAGGGTCAGCCTGGCCAACGCAGCTAGCCGAAGCTATTCCGGGGCGGGCCAAAGATGCCTCATTAAGCTAAATACGTACCTCGGGCGTAACGACCAGGCCCAGGCGGCAAAAGGAGGGCCTAAGCCACCTGTTGACCCCACAAGCCTAGCAAAATAAAACACAAGGCGCCAAGATGTGAGAATTGCTGAGGTCCAGAAAGTGGGACGACGCAGTTGACAACCGAGAAAGCAGCTTCTGGCAGAACCCCACAACAGCCACTGACAACTCAGTGACAGGCCCGTGAGGACAGTAATGGCGGTGAAAGTGAAGAGCAAAAAACTAGACCAAGCCACAGAAACAGTCAAAGGGATCCGACACAACAAACACTACAAACACGAAAATGACGTTAGTCCCTGTTTCCTCTGGGTTATGCTAGAAACATAAGAACGTAGCAATTCATAGTCCTAAAAGAGCAGTAAGCAATAGAAGGGAACGAAGTTGATCAGACAGTTCCGCCGCAGAATCGAACACATATAACGAACCGGTAATGGACCGAGATTCCAACGTAAAAATGTAACAAGCTGTGAACAGAACAAGGTGTTGAGCAAAAGTGCGTCTAAAAGTCAGAGATACCGAATGTTCATGAAGTTAATTTTAGCAAGAGCACTTTTGAAGACGGCAATCTTTTCCGTATGCAGAAGTTCCACGGGCAGTTTATTGAGCCAGAGTGCTGTCCTGTTGAAGAACGAATTGCTCCTGAGCCTCAGAAATCTGGTACGAGAACTAGGTCTGGAAGTAAATATGTTATAACAAGGCCTTCTCGCGGACGAATGCTTAAAATTCCAAAAGCGACTGGGGGTAAGACATGTCTTACCTTTGAGTATCTTGAAAGCCATCACAAGATCCGCAAAGATGCGTCTGTAGAGAAGACTTCTGAGGCCTAGCTCTTTTAGTCGAATACTGTAAGGCGGCATTGATCGGGGATATCCAGGGTCGGGAAACACCCGGAAGTACAGAAGTCTTGTGAAGGTCATCTAAACCTTTTCCAACTGGGAAGTAAGCTTTTTGGAGTGAGGGTTCCAAACCTGACTACAATATTCGAGAATAGGACGAACATAAGTTTTATACAACTTTAGCAGAACGGTTAAATCTGTAGTTTTGACTATTCTGAACAAACTGTATAAACATCGCAAAGCCCTAGACCGAATACCATCAATGTGGAAATCCCAGCTAAGTGAGTTGGAAATAATAACGCCGAGATCTCGTGTTTGATCAAGAATACAAGAAGAAGGTATGTCAGCCGGGGATAGATCAGTTGGCCGGTTACCCGAGGGAAAGCACG